AGTTTAGCCCACACTCAGGGGAGAGGTAATTATATAATGTATACAATTATTCATGAGGTGGGCCCTTTGGGGGTTATCTTAGAAGTCTGCTTACTGCAGTTTCCTTCTTGTAAGGGTTAAATTCCCTCAAGTTTTAACTTTTTTCTCCCTGTGTGCCTTTAAATATTTAATCCACAGTTTTAAATTATCAACATGAATCCACCATTACCCTTAGCCAGAGTTCACCGTTTGCAGATGATAACTGCAACTTTCTCATAGGAGAAAAATATTCTACTATGATAACATTTTCTTCTTCATGTTTTGTTCCCCTAATTAGCCACTAAATATTTTATGTAGATGTCTAACTGATGCCTCACCTTCATCATGACCAGACTATAAAATTGACTCAGCTCAATTTTTCTTCCTTGTGGATTCGGTTGCTTTCTCATAATTGCATCTTATCTTCTCTATCAACCCAGGCTCAATATCTGGGATCAGAGGATTTTGTTGTTATAATTCTAATCAAGGTGTAGCCTACTCACTAGACAGGTACTGGCCACCAACCGTTTGTTACTAGTCTGTCCAAATTAAGAACAGAAATTAAAAGTAAGCATTTAGAATTTGACATTGCTGAGACATCCAAGTGTGTGAGTTTGTGTTTTAAATATTCATCTATAACTGGTTGGGAAAAACAAAAGATAAACAGATCTTCACCATATATAGTCTGAAGAGCGTTTTTCTACCCCATTACTGTCATTTTTTCTGTCTCTTTTGATACTAAGCCTGTTGTTCATTCACTTATTTCCACTGCCATTGATGTAGCGTAGACCTTCACACTATTTCTTGTGGGCTAATTGCAATAGCTTCAACCTAGGCTCTGTATTTTCTGTTTCTCTTTCTCCAGTCCATCCATTCACATCCGTGAGAAAACAGACTTTGTAGAACAGCACTCTGATTATCATGGTTTGCTTAAAAACTTTAAATTGTGCTTTATTATCTGGTCAAAATGGTCCAGATTCCATAGGTTGATACTTAAGATCCTAGATTTCTCACTTCTCCTCTCCTTTACTATTTCCCCTCCCATCCCCTGTGTCTCAGTTCAAACATGCTTTTTTTTTCACTCCAGCTTCCGCCAACAGTCAGTTCCAACTTTCTTTCCTTGTGTTTTCTTCTTCTTGTTTACAGCAGTTATCACATCCTGACAACTTTACTTATTTTATGATTCCCCACTCCATGCACACTACAGTGTTAAGTTTCATGTGGATGGAAACTTGCTTTGTTTCCTGCACTGCTGAATCTCCAGAAGGTGCACAGTAAGTTTTTCTTTCATCGACAAGTCAGTGAAACCAGTCACCACCTTAAAGAACTTTGTGAGTGGCCATGACGATCCAAAAGAATGGCTATTTAATGATGGAATTTTCTAAGCAGGCATTGAAGGACCTATTTGGAGCAGAGACTCTAGCCTCCCTCAAATCACATTATAGTCTTTTACAAATTTTAAGTTTCATGAATATAAGCATTTGGTATACTGTAGTCTGTTTCTTCAGTGCCCAGTTTTGTGCCTGGAAAAGAGAATGTACATAGCAATATTTTTTTTTGTCTGAATGAAGTAATTAATGCAGTAGGTGTTCCTACCAAGCTCCCAGCTGTGGCTTCTACTCCTGGTAATTCTGTCACATTTCTCTCCAGTTCTGGGGGCAGAGGTTAGCTGTCTGATCTCAAAAGGATGTAAGAAGAATTGATGATCTTCAGTTTGTTCAACCTTTTTCTTGTTGTGAGGACAGGAGTGATGACTTCAAAATTTTTTGTGTGTTAGATTGGAAACTGGAAGTCAGCTGTAAGTTTTTATAGAAATTCTTTACTAAGTTGAGGTAATGCCCCACTGTTTCTAAATTGGTGAGAGTTTTTAACGTGAATACATTTTGAATTTGTTAAAAGTTTTTCTTGTATGAATGATCAAGTGATTTTTACTTCCTTAGACTGTTGATATGGTAAATAACATTGATTTTCATATATTAAACCTTGATTGTATATCTGGAATTAATCCTAATGCTACTTGGTCATGGTGTATAATTATTTTTATAGTGCTGAATTCAGTTTTCTAACATTTCGTTGAGGATTTTTGTGTCTTAAGTTCCTGACATATAAATCTCATGAGAGACATTGATTTATAGTGCTATTATTTTTTATACTGTCTTTTTGTACTGTCTTTGATTTTAATATCAAGGTAATACCTCACAAAATGAGTTTGAACTTGTTTTCTTCTCTATTTTTTTTGGAAAGCATCGGGTAAAATTGGTGTTAATTCTTTCCTAAGCATTTGGTAAAAGTTTGCAGTGAAGCCACCTGGGCCTGGAATTTCTTTTTTGAAAAACTTTTTACTTATAAATATTTATTTAATGATTATAGTATGATGCAGGTTTTCTGTTTCATTTTGGTTGAGTTTTGGTAGTTTGTGGCTTTGAAATAATTATTTTATATCTTCTAAGGTTTTGAATTTATGATTTATAATTATAAAGATTTTTGTAATATAAGCGTTTTATCTTTTACAACACTATAGAATCTGTATTCCTTTATTTCATTGCTATTATTTGAAATATGTGTCTTCTCCCTTTTTTATCGTTGTGTTAAGTCATGCAGAGGGTGATAAACATTGTTTTTCTTCCCCCCAAAGAACCAACTTGTATTTACATTAACTATTCTCTTTTCATTTTTATTGATTTATTCTTAATTTTATTACCTTCCTTTTGCTTGCTTGGACTTATTTTGATCTTTTTCTGTTTTCTTGAGATGGAGACTTAGATTACTAATTTGAGATTCTACATCTTTTCTAATGTAAAAATTTAGTGCTATAAACTTCCCTCTTAGTATGTCCTGTAAGTTATTTTTATTATAAGATATGCATAACATATAATGTATCATTTTAGCCATTTTTACTTGTACACTGGCATTAAGCACATTGACATTGCTGTGCAGCCATTACTATTACTCATCTCCAGAACATTTTCATCATTTGAGACTGAAACTTTGTACCTGTTGAGTAAGTCCTCATTCCCCTCTCTCCTCAGCACCTACTAACCACGATTGTGCTTTCTGTGTCTATGAAATTGTCTATTTCAGGTACCTCATACAAAAGGGATCATAAGGTTGTTCTTTTGCGTGTGGCTTATTTCACTTGGTATATAATGTTTTCCATGTTTATCCATGTTTAGCACATCAGTAATGTATTCAAGTCTGTATAATACTCCATTATATATACATACCACATTTTGGTATTCATTCTTTAATAGACAATTGGGTTGTTTCCACATTTTAACTATTGTGAATAATACTGCTATGAACATTGGTATATAAATACCTGTTTGTATTCCTGCTTTCCATTGTTCTGGGTATATACCTTGAAGTTGAATTGCTTCATTATATGATAATTTTATGTTTAATATTTTGAAGAACCACTGTACAGTTTTTCACAGCAACTGTACCATTTCCCAACAGCAGTGCACAAAGCTTCCAGTTTCTTCACATCCTCACTAGTACTTGTTACTTTCTATGTTTTGATAGTAGCCATCGCAATGGGTGTGAAGTGGTGTCTTACTGTGATTTGCATTTCCCTAATGATTACTGATGTTGAGCATCTTTTTATGTGTTTATTGGCCATTTATATATCTTTAGAGAAATATCTATTGAAATCCAGTCCCCATTTTAAAATTGGCTTCTTTGAGGTTTTTCATGGTGGTCTTGTTTTATTGTAGGAGTTATTTATGTATTCTGGATATTAATCCCTTATGAGATACATGATTTGATATATTTTCTCCCACTATATAGGTTGTCTTTTCACTCTTCTTAGTATCCTCTGATGCACCAAAGTTTCTAATTTTGATAAAATCTAATTTATCAATTTTTCTTTTGTTGCCTGTGTTTACTGTGTTTAGCTTAATAGTGTGTTCCACATTCATTAGGAGTTCTCTAGTTTGTGCTTTTCTGTATCTCCAACCTCTGCCTTAAAAAAGTAATAATAAATAGAAAAACAATGACAAGACCAATAAAAATGAAAATGTTTTTTAAGGCTAAATAACACTAGGTAATTTAAATTGCCAGTATAGACCTTTCAACCAGAACAGAAAGGGAGAACTATACTTTATTTTCTGTCCTTTTAGAGTCCTAGTAAATTGAGAAGCTATTTTTACTTATAAATGTCACTTTATGCATTTATATAACATCAGAACACATGCATATTTGAAAATATATATGAGGTTTCATTTCATATTTGAAAGCTGGGTGTAGGTCACAATCAACTTGAACACCTTCCAAAGGAGGTTGAAAACAGTACTCAGAAAAGCAGCCTTGTTTTGCAACACAGTGAACTGCTAGACCTCCCAGATACTATGAGAGGAGAAAGAAGATATTGATAGCTATTAATAGCTAACTGCATATTAAGACGACTATTCTTGATTCATTTTGGTTATGAAAATTCAAGACTAAAATTCACATTTACCAAAGTGGTAAAACTTTTAAGATAATATTTTTAAATCACTTTTCCATTTCCATTTATTTCCATATCTTGTGGTAGCTTATGACCCTCAATCTGAACTCAAGGTATAACTGGTATTACTGTGCTGGATTTGGTTAACAAAATCAGTACTTCAAATTTTGGAATATATAAACATTTGTGATTGAATTTGTTACTTTAAAAGAGTATGTAATACAGGTTGGAAGAGTAATCATTCACGAACAACATTTTAATTTTATCAGATGTCATTTTGAAGTAATGGTTTCAGATTTGTGGTTGACTTAGTTTTTGAGAAAGAAAATGAAATTGTGACATAGAAAAATGAAGTTTTTATTTTCTTGCAATGCAAGTATGTTCACCAAATTAACATTTTAAAAGTTGCCTACCTAATAAGGTTGTGTTTCCAGTTATTCGTGTTCAGAAATTATAAAGTTTTCTTTCTTGCTTACAAACATTATCTAGTATGTCTTTTAAGAATACTTACTGAATTTTTATGTTGGTCAATTTACAGGTGAATTATGTAACCTCATTACGCTGGATGTAGCTCACAATCAACTTGAACACCTTCCAAAGGAGATTGGAAACTGTACACAGATAACCAACCTTGACTTGCAGCACAATGAACTGCTAGACCTCCCAGATACTATAGGTATGAGAGGAGAAAGAAGATATTGATAGCGGTTAATAGCTAACTGGATATTAACAGGACTATTTTTGATCCATTTGGTAATGAAAATTCATAAAATTCACAGTTACTAAAGTTGTAAGACTTTAAGGTAATATTTTATAATCACTTTTCATTTCCCTTTATTGACAAAGAAAATAGGTTTTAAGGAAATGAGCCCAATGGGATTTTAAAGAGAGAGCTATCAAGTTGTGTGTATATATATCCTATCATAGCTTGAATTGCAAAATGGGTGGCTTTTTCTGCTTTTGCATATTTCTGAGTTGCATGTTATTATACTGGGTGTGGTCCTTTTTTTTGCTTAAGTACATACTGTAAAATAAAACCATTGGTGTTTAGTTTTTAAACACGGCCAATATAATGTAAAGTTTGTTTATCTGTAATACTCGGGATAAGTGAGGAGATGCCTTGAAGTTCAAAATAGGTTTCAAAGACTTAGACAAATTGCAGAAAATTGAATTGAGCTGTGATGTGTGTTTATGTAGTCTTGTTTATTCTTTTGATTGCCCGTAATTTATACCAGTAAAGGGAATTTTTAAAATTCTGATGCCTTTTTAGTTATTAATGTGGTATAAGGATACTATAATGTTTATTTAGAAAAATTACATCTCAGTTTACATAATTTCAGTCATAAATAATTAATTTTTAAAATTTTATTTTTTTTGAGACTGAGTTTCACTCTGCTGCTCAGGCTGGAGTGCAGGGTCCTATTAGAAGTAATTCTTCTGTGTTATAAGTGTGTTTACTAATGTGAAAAGATTTGATTTTGTTATTAATCTCTTGTGGTTTACATGTTATCTCAGAATAACACACATGCCTCACCTCTAACTTACATGGAGGGTCAGATCACAGTATTATTACATATTGGAAATCAGGGAGAACTGAAACATTAACAACAAGAAAATTTTAAATTACGTTGCATTTACTTTTATATGCTTTGATAGTTGTCGCCAAGTATAGGACAGCTGTTACTTTGAGTAAATGGCAAAGTAAAGGACCACACCCAGTATAATAACATACAACTCAGAAATATTTATTGAAACTTTATGATATTGTAGTCATTTATCAATTACCATGTTTATTAAATAATTATTTCCTCTTTCCCCATCCTTTTCAGTTCCAGTATTTTGATTATGTAGCAAGATATTGAGGTTTGGTGGGAAACTTTGACAGTTGAGTCTTGGTCTGTTACAAATTTCAACAGTCTTAATTAACCTTTGAGATTTTCACTCTTATTTATTGAAGAAGAACAATTTACCCAAATAGTCAGTGGAAACTAAATTGAATTATGGTTCTCCTGATACTTTACCTTTTTAAAATCCTGTTCTGGTTCTCAGAAAGTATAACTTAAAATCTAACAAACAGAAAGCCCAACACCTGTTCTGCAGAGTTGATGCTAGTCTGGAAGCAGCTGCCCACTCTCTTTTCCCTGGACTAAAAAATCTGGCCCTACACTCATAACTGAAAATCAAATCTTGTATCATCTTACAATCACGTTCCAGAAATCATTTTATATTTACTTGCCTTTTCTTTCTTTTCTTTTTTTCTTATAAGTAGACCAGGATATTTTTGCCTTTTTCTTTATTTAACATAAACATTCCTGGAGTAACTGTCACTCCCTGTGATAATGAGTGCCATTTACTTCCAGGTTGAGTAGCTAGTATCACTGACAGCTTATAGGATGTGAGGAAAAGACAGAAGGAAATGGGATGGTGGTGGTGATGTGTGTGGGGGGTACCAAGTTGCAGTTAAGTGAGTGCTTAAATACATATTTATCACTTCTAGATTTAACTGTTAGCCTGCTTTGTTGAATTAAAAAAATGTATTATAGTATATGAATATTTTCTGATCAGAAATTAGCTATGAACAAAAGAAAATATAAGCTTCATTCCAACAGTTATTTTGTTGTAATGTATGAATGTGATGTTTTTTAAAGCTTTCTGGTACCTCTGGTACTTCTATGTAATCCAGGGAAGAAATGGTCTAACGCAGGAAAAAATAGTTTACTTTTTGTTCCTTCTTAAAATGAGATTTAGAGAGAACTATGCCACAAAACCTTGCCTTCGAGGCTAGAGCACAGAACAATTCACAGAGGCCTTTTTGTTGCACTGGGCTCTGAAGAAATGTTACAGTAATTATGGTTATATCAACAAGTCGCCTTTTAGTCATTTTAGTAATTGGGTTTTAGGTAATTACAGTGCAGTGTATGTATAACAACTTTACTAGTTTTCTTTTTAATGGTGGTGGTCTTCAGGTTTTTAACATTCAGGAATTTCTGTGTTGCTTACTTTTCAGTTTGCTTTCAGTTTAATGTTTCCAAAAAAATAATTGTACCTTTGACATTTCATCCTTCGAACCCTGAGTCTTTCCTACAGTTTTTTTTTGCGACTTTGTTAAAATAAGATTAAGATAATTTAAATTAGTCTTACTCAAAAGTTATACTAAATTAACCTAAAGTTGCTGGTTATATTTGCTCTAATTGAAAGCATCTAATTTTAATTCATAGTCATTTGATTTCATCATATTTAAAAATCTGACAGCATAAGAAAGCAAGCTGTCAAAGTGGAGCACAGAACAATTTATAGACAAAGTTAAGCACTCAAAAGCTAAATGCCAGTGATTGGCAGCGATCAGCCTACGTTTATATACAGAAGTGTGGCAACAATGATTTTATGTGTTGATTTCTAGGTTGCAGTTTAGTTTGTGGTTAAAACCACTCATTGAGAGAGGTTAGAGTTGAAACCACAGCAGAGGGTGAAAACAATAAATGCCAGACTTCTGATGTTTTCTTCTGGTGTAAAAGAGTTTTGATATTTCATCCTTAATTTTTTAAACCTCTTTTATTTAGCTGAGAGTAATAGACTTTGGCAAAATGTGGATGACTCTTTGAATATGCCAGTGGTCTCAAGTGATAGGGCCTTTGCAAATGTGAGATTTCTTCATCAGAATAGAGCATTCTCATAGATTACATTTTTAGAAATTCAACCCCTTTTGCCCCACCAAAAAGCAAAAAGTTGAGATCCAACAAAGGTGGAGGTGCCTTTTAATTTAAATTACTACTGACTGGTTTTGATAGTAGATAATGTCATGTAGCAATTTAGCTACATTATTTTTATTTTGTAATTTTTATATTCTAGGAACCTACTCTGGTTTTAAAAGTGAGAATCTTAAGAGTTATTTGGTTTTGGATGAGAAATTTCAAGAATCTGCTTCTATTTACTAGGCTTTTGCATTGACAGACATTTAGAATTTGGTTCCCCTACTAATCTTTGTTACCACAGAAAGATTTTAGTTTTCAGTGAATAAAAAACATTTAAAATATTATATTCATCTACTGTGATATTGTGAAGGGTTTATTGAATGAGGCATATCAGTTGATGGAGCAAAATTATAGAGACTTCGTACTGTTAATAAATTCTCCCCTTTTCTGGCAGACTTCAAAGACCCCTTGGTGAACATTTCAGCCATTTTGTCACAATGGAACAACTTTCTTCCATAGGGAAAGCAGTGATGTAAAGGAGAGAAAGCGATAGTCTTGTTAAAGGTTGGCTACCTCTTTTTATCTGCAGCTGCATACAGGAAATTAAAATTTTATCAGAAGATTTTGAAGTTTTTTATAATCAGACATCACTACTTGCAGGAAAATTTTCGCTTCTGCTGACCTTGCTGTAGTGGTAGCCATAGGATTGGAATAGGCAAGGGATAAGATGTTGATACTATCCCTCCCCTTTTTACAAGGATGTGAGTAAATGGGAGCTATTCTTCATTCTTGGTGAAAATAAAAATGATACAGCCTTTTGTTACAACTTACCAGAATTTTAAATATCTGTATCCTCTGACACATAAATATTTTCACATGTGCACAAAGATATATATCTAAGATATTTATTACAGAATTCCTCGTTTCAAAAATTAAATGCCATCAATTGAGCAGTGATTAGCAAGATAATGGCACACACATACCGTGAAACACTTTACAGTGACTAAATAGAATGTGATAATATCTGTATTCACTCAACATAAAAATATTTCTGTCACCTGTTTACACGTTTGGGAGGGGAGAAGCATATAGAATGATCTTATTTATATGAAAGCAAACATATAAACCTAAGAAATTTCTATATTTGTGTATATATAAATAAGTACTTAGAGAGGTCTCAGTAGAAATGTATCAGACTATAAACCATGGTTATCTAAGGAAAATAGGAAGATAAATTTATATATTTTATAACTAAAAATGATGTGGTGGGGTGGGAGGAATGCAGAAAGTTGGAATTGTTAGCAGTTCCTTTCCAGCTGATAATCTAAGCATGGACTGCTCAGAAGTTGGGTATCCCAGAAAATTTTCTGCAAATATTAGTAGAATAATTAATTTATATTCAGACCAGATGAATATATATATATTTTTCAATCATGTCCAATAAAACCTATGTTTCATAGACATGCTGTTTTATAATATGAGACTGGGTTGAAGAAAATAGATTTTTATGGGCCTAACGTAATTTTTTGTATCTTGTTCCTAATGGAAAGGAGAACAAATAATAAAATGTTTTAGTTTCTATAATTATTAAGAAAGTTAATCAATGCCTGTTGTATGCTTAGCACTGAAACAAATTCTATCGGGAGAAATAATAGCAAATCTCCTCACTTACTGGGTTTTCAGACTGGTGAGGGAGATAGCTAATCCATGAAACAAATGAGACCAAATAAAATTAATTGCCAACTGTGGTGAAAACAGTATGCTGGTATATTCAGTTTACAAGGAGGTCAGTAAGATCTTGATAAAATGGCCAAGAATGGCTTAATAAACAAATGCATTGGACTCAGTATGGAATAAGTATGCAGTCCATGAGCACAACAGCATGGACAGTCAAATGGCATGGGGGTGAGAATGAGCAGGCTTCTGTGTCAAGGGTACAAGCTAAGTAGAGCAAAGTCAATGAAGATCTTGAAGGAAAATTTGTTGATAGGGAGCCAGCCAAGTTTGATTGACTAGCTGGTGATGTGACAAGTTGCTTCACAAATGTTATGGTAAGGTCCCTGCTAATTACCCTCAGATGACTGTTAGTGCTGCTTCCTAGATATCTTCTTCATCTCTTATCTTTTTATCAAATGTCACAGGATGGCTGTCTAAAACTTCAAACCACTATACTCATTTTTTTTCCTCACAATTTAGCTTGTGTTCACTTTATGGAGAAGATGATCCTTACAGTGTGAAGTGCCCAAACTTCTTATTTCTACATTTATTTTCCCCCTTTGCTCATCTTTTGTTCATTCCCTCCTGTTCCTGGAGACAGAGATGTTCCTTCTAAGATTACCTTTTCTACTTTATAAAGCCAGCTTTGGTCCTTTGTGTTAGAAGTTGTCTCCCCCATCTCTTAACATTCAAAGATTTTGTTCATACCTCTTTTAGCGTATTACCATAGGCTACAAAGTATTATAGTTATTTGTAAAAATATATCGCTATACTGTAAACCACTTGAGAGGAGACATACTGTATCTTGTGTGGCACTGTGCAATTATACAGCAGTTAAACAATAAGTAGCTAGATCCATAGGGTGGAGGTGTATCATAGGGAACCCTAGAAGCTAGCAAAGAGTGTTTACATTTGATACACTAGGGAATAGTTTGTTTTTAGTATTAATACTTTTGACCAGGTGCAGTGATTCATGCCTGTAATCCCAGCATTTTGGGAGGCTAAGGTGAGTGGATTGCTTTAGCACAGAGATTAAGACTAGCCTAGGCAATATGGTGAAACCCTATCTCTACAAAAATACGAAAATTAGCTGGGTGTGGTGGCATGTGCCTGTAGTCCCTGCTGCTCCAGAGGATAAGGTGGGAGGGTCACCTTAGCCTGGGGAGGTTGAGGCTGCAGCAAGCCATGATTGTATCGCTGCACTCCAGCATGGGCAACAGAGTCGTCAGACTTTGTCTCTAAAATAAAAAATGATGAGGGTGGGATTGGAGAAGAGACAAACATGAGAAATTTATTTTGAGAATACAAATAGAATTTTGTGACTGACTTAGAAGGGATGAAACTGATATTAGGAAACATTTTGTACAATAGTATTTGGAAACTGGGCCAAGAGTTTGCTGGCTCTAATTGAGATTCCAACATGCGTAAAGTTGAATACAAAAGCAGCAATAAAAGCTACCACTTAGCAAAGACAAGTTAGTCTTTAAAATGCTTTCTAAATTAACTAAGGATGCCTCACTTAGTGACTTCATCAGTGTCTTTCTGATGACACTCTAATGAGATGTGTCAGTTGTGCAGAGAGAGGAAAAAAAAGGATTGGGTGACTTTCCAAAGCCCCAGAAAATTTAAACGTTAACAATAAGAACAAGAATATTTACTATTGTTATCATCACTGCGTTAGGCCAGGCACGGTGGCTCATACCTGAAATCCCAGCACTTTGGGAGGCTGAGATGGACAGATCACCTGAGGTCAGGAGTTCAAGGCCAGCCTGATCAACATGGTAAAACCCCATCTCTACTAAAAATACAAAATTAGCCAGGTGTGGTGGCATGCACCTGTAGTCATGGAGGCTGAGACAGGAGAACTGCTTGAACCCAGGAGTCTGAGGTTCCAGTGAGCTGAGATTGCACCACTGCACTCTAGCCTGGGCGATCGAGCAAGACTCAGTCTCCAAAGAAAAGAAAAGAAAATACTCTGCTTTTTATTTATTCAATAATGGCTAGTTTATGCTCAAGCTGGATATGCTTAGATAAAAGAGACTATAACTTTCACTTTGGTTTCTAATTTTTGGGGAGGGGTTGAGAAATTTTTTGCCATCAAATCAACTTTTCAGTATTGAACCTTTCTGATTTCAGAAAGTAATTTGTATTTTAAACAATACCATTTTAGAAATTTGGAAATTTTTTTCCAAAATTACGTGTACATATATATGACTACTTGTAAGTTGGATCATCGTCACGTAGAACAAATGGAATAATTATTATAAGTTTTGAATATACACTGCTTTGATGCAGTTAAGTTAGACCTTATCTAAAGATTAACTTGTTAAAGGATGCCAATACTTTAATCATTCATTTAAAAACTAACTTAGAGCTGTGTATTTCATTATTTCTCCAAGACAAGTGAGCATAAAAGTGATTTCAGTTTCATCCTAATTGATAGTGTAGTGTGTAGGTTCCTTGGTGCTAGAAGTTAAGGATCTTGCTGAAACAGTACTTCAAAATAATTTGTAAATTGTTAGTAGATAAACTGTGACAGCGAGAGGCTCATCAGATTTTGTAAAAAATAAATTTCTTTTTTTGTGTGTGTTTACAGGAAACCTGTCCAGTTTAAGTCGTCTTGGTCTGAGATATAACAGACTGTCAGCAATACCCAGATCATTAGCAAAATGCAGTGCACTTGAAGAATTAAATTTAGAGAACAATAACATTTCTACTTTACCAGAGGTAAGAAGTGGATTAGAAGAAACAAGATTTGAAATGAGTCTGCAAGATAATTCAAGGAAAGCTAGTATATCTTTATAGCAGGTTAAATAATTTGGTGATTGAGATTGTTTAATGAGTATGCTGTGGATGTACCACCACCTCTAAAGTAACTACAAACAAGAAAGAATGAATATATGAGCCTATTAAGAAAAAGGGAAAAAACAGGAGAAAAGTTAAGTGTGCTGTATTCTACTTTAGCACCATGTAAATCTTTCTCAGACCATTTTGGGAACTGGCAGTAAAGGTATTAAGGAAAAAGCTATATGGCTGGTTTTAGAATTTAACTATCTTACTACCTCAGTTCCATTATAAAAAGAAAGATGGGCCGGGCGCGGTGGCTCACGCCTGTAATCCCAGCACTTTGGGAGGCCGAGGCGGGTGGATCACGAGGTCAAGAGATGGAGACCATCCTGGTCAACATGGTGAAATCCCATCTCTACTAAAAATACAAAAAATTAGCTGGGCATGGTGGCGCGTGCCTGTAATCCCAGCTACTTAGGAGGCTGAGGCAGGAGAATTGTCTGAACCCAGGAGGCGGAGGTTGCAGTAAGGCGAGATCGTGCCATTGCACTCCAGCCTGGGTAACGAGAGCGAAACTCCGTCTCAAAAAAAAAGAAAGATGATAAATGATATAGAATGCACTATTTGTCATCAAAATTAATATTAGCAGCAATTCTCCTGTGACTCTAGTTTATGCAATAATATTAAGGCCTATTTAATATATAACAATTGCCAAAATCTTTTTTTCAACACATTTTTATGTTTTGTTGATTCTGTTAGAAAAATATTTTCACTTATTTTGCTTAGGAGTTAATTGGGTAAGATATAGTACTTTTTTGTTTGTTTTTTTTGGATATGGAATTTGGTTCTCGTCCAGGCTGTAGTGCAATGGTGCAATCTCGGCTCAACTGCAACCTCCACCTCCTGGGTTCAAGCGATTCTCCTGCCTCAGCCTCCCAAGTAGCTGGGATAAAAGACATGCACCACCACACCCAGCTAATTTTGTATTTTTAGTAGAGACGGGGTTTTACCATGTTGGTCAGGCTGGTCTCGAACTCCCGACCTCAAGTGGTCCACCCACCTTGGCCTCCCAAAGTGCTGAGATTACAGGTGTGAGCCACCACACCTGGCCAATATAATACTCTTCTTTTAAAGTTGACTTTATCAGCATTATTAGTCTTTTACTATTGAATTTCCTTCTTTTCCTACCTATTTCAGCATGTCAGCAGTGGATGTTTGCTTATAGTTCAAGCATATCTTACTGTAGTAATATAACAAAAGGATTGTGGACTTATGGATTTAGTTTTGCAAAGTCTTTTTTGTAACAAAAATGTCTTACATAACTGCTCCTACTATGTTTTATCTTGATAGCTTTTGTGAGTATGTGTATGTATGTAATCAAATTAGGAATAAAGTTTCTTTAAGACCAGGTGCAGTAGCTCATGCTTGTAATCCCAGCACTTCGGGAGGCTGAGGCAGTCAGATCACCTGAGGTCAGGAGCTCGAGACCAGCCTGACCCTGTCTTTACTAAAAATACAAAAAATTAGGTGGGTTAAGTGGTGGGCACCTGTAATCCCAGCTACTCAGAAGGCTGAGGTAGGAGAATGGCCTGAACCCAGGAGGCGGAGGTTGCAGTGAGCCAAGATCACGCCATTGCACTTTACTTCTATAAGTAAAGTCTGTGCAACAGAGGTAGACTTCATCTCACTCACCCCCCCTCCCACCACAAAAAAAAAATACTATGCTGCCATAAAAAAGGACGAGTTCTTGTCCTTTGCAGGGACATGGATGAACCTGAAAACTGTCATTCTCAGCAAGCTGACACAAGAACAGTAAACCAAACACCCCGTGTCCTCATAAGTGGGTGTTGAACAATGAGAACACATGGACACGGAGGGGAACATCACACATGGGGGTCTATTGTGGGGTGGGGGGGCTAGGGGAAGGGATAGCAGAGGGTGGAGAGATTGGGGAGGGATAACATTAGGAGAAATACCTAATGTAGGTGACGGGGGGATGGAGGCAGCAAACCACCATGGCACGTGTATGACTGTGTAACAATCCAGCAAGATCTGCACATAATGTGTCCCAGAACTTAAAGTATAATAAAAAAAATTTAATTGATATATATCCAGCCTTATTGTCAGTGAAATGAAACTAATAATTACTGGGTACCTGTTAGGATATGTGGGTTTTCCTGGGAGCTTGATAGTAATGTGACCTCTTGGGGCTCCAGTCCCAGTCCCACTGAACATGGGAAAGTGTGAAGTCTTATTTGAAAATAATCAGTATGCTTTGGAAGCAGCATAATCTCAATGAAAATATGAAATTACCTGCATTTATAATAAGGAAAACGAAATCCATTAGACAGCACTTATGAGATACTGAAGCTGGGTTAGGCAAGAAATCATGAAAGTGGTTTCCAATAAGGGCATATAAATAGCTGAAATCAGAGCTGCTAAAATGACTGTTTTGCCATTTGAAGATTCTCTGAAAATGGACTTATTTTAATGTAGAAATACATATAAGGAAAAGGAACTTAAGAATTTGAACCACATATTCCTAAGGTATGAGTCTAGGTGCTCTACATGTATTATCTCATTTAATCTTTGCCATAAACCTACCAGTTACTGGAGTATCCTCATCAAACAGCGATTTAAGAGAAGTTGTATTTTTAGCTGTATTTGTTACCTTAAATATTTTTCTGGAAGTATGGTAAGAGCTATATTGATTATCTAATTAATCCACTAAAGTTGACAAAACTAAGTAGAAGATATAAAATAGGAACCTAGATGTGTCTGATTCTGGAGGAAAAAAACAACAACAACTGGTTTCACGGTGTGACTAGGAAGTGAGCGCCTGAAGGGCTGCCTTCTTGTTGCCCCTTCTCAGATATTAACATTTTATCATATAAGTCAGTTCAATAAAGTCAGAATAATAAGAATCACATTTTGCCATGAGGCGCAATAAAACTCCTTTATTTTCAGTTGAGTAGCCTGTAGAGATTTTTCCTGAATTGACTGTCATGCAGTTTTCTCGCCACAGTTTTACCTGTGTTGTTCCTTTTTGTGTGTACAACAATACACAAATGTTCAGGGTAGCTTCTTAAAGTTCAGTATAAAGAACAAGTTTCAGTTCTCTCTATAATTATATCCTCAATTATATAGTTACTTCATTCCTTCAGATGGCTTTGTCAATTACACTGACACCTCAGGTACTAAGTCTTCCATTTGCTGATAGTGGACAACTGAAGTGTGAGCATTCATTTAAAAACATACACATCTCACACAGTGCTTGCTTCTTTCTGCTTGTGCTTGTGTTTTTGCTTTGAAACTAGAGTGTTTCTTCTGTTTCTCTGAGTACTTTAAAATGTTTTCGGCCTTCAAGATCTAGCTCACTGTCAGCCTTCATCCTGTTTTTCCAGTTATTCCAATATTCTTTGCTTTGAATTTAAATAGAGAAAGGATTTAAAATGTAAGCACTTACTCCCTAATAGGTATTGTAAAGTTATTTATGTATTTTATCACTTTTAGTCTTCACTGTGACCCATAGAATATTATTATTTGGAAAATGAATACGCTAGGTTCTGAAAAATAACTTGGGGAAGTCACAAGCTATTAAAACAGTTTATAAGGCCAGGCGCGGTGGCTCAAGCCTGTAATCCCAGCACTTTGGGAGGCCGAGGCGGGTGGCTCACTAGGTCAAGATACCGAGACCATCCTGGTCAACATGGTGAAACCCCATCTCTACTAAAAATACAAAAAATTAGCTGGGCATGGTGGCGTGTGCCTGTAATCCCAGCTACTCAGGAGGCTGAGGCAGGAGAATTGCCTGAACCCAGGAGGCGGAGGTTGCGGTGAGCCAAGATCACACCATTGCACTCCAGCCTGGGTAACAAGAGCGAAACTCCGTCTCAAAAAAAAAGAAACCAGTTTATAGCCTGTACTAGTATTTCTCGGATGTTAATGAGCATGCATATCACCTGGGAATCTTGTTAAAATGCATATTATGATTCAATGGGAGTGGGGCCCAAGCGTCTGCATTCCTAACAACCTCCCAGGGTATGCTGATACCGCTCTTCCTTGACTCAGACTTTGAATAGCAAGAGCCTATTCTGTATATTGATTATATACAGTCATATATTATTTTCTCATTATTTCTTATCTATGTACTTTACTTCTATAAATAGAGCTTAATCTTCTTAACCACAGAGATATCTTGGTAATACCTGAACATTTAATACTTTGGTAGGAGGCTAAAGTAGGGGAAGATGGGGTTATGTGCTAAGTAAATACTTGTTTGATGGATCCATATATGCCCTCAGAAATTTTACCATATAGAAAAGCAGTGTGTTATGCAGTATCAGGAAGCATAATCATCTACTGAATTTAACAGTTCCTAAAAGGAATCATGTTAACCTTAATGATTTAGAGATAGGTATATAACTAAGACCTAGGTAGGATTAGTCACACAGCCATTGGCAGAGACAGGACTCAGATCTGGGACTGTCTGACACCAAAGTTTCTACAATGTAGAAGTTTCAAATTAGTCACCTGTGAGGCCCCTCTCACACACAGACATGTTTTCCTTACTTCATACAGTGTTTTAAATAAACTGAAGCCAAAGAATAAAAATTTGGAAAATTTTCTGTTTTTTTCCTATAAAATCTGGAAATCTACATTGATTCCACATTTCTGTGAGGCACCAATCTGCTAGAGCTGTGTAGTGATTGTCCCCCTAGAGAGGTGCTACAAACTTCCCCAACCAGTCTCTGTCATTTGTCACCCACAAAGCCCTTTGAAGCATTTGTGTTGGGTCTGCTCTCAATATAAAATGAGTCTCATCACAGTACTAATTCTTATGTTTATTTTGTTTTTTACAGAGTCTTTTATCAAGTCTTGTGAAATTGAATAGTTTGACCTTAGCTAGAAATTGCTTCCAGTTATATCCAGTGGGTGGTCCATCTCAGTTTTCCACCATCTATTCCCTCAATATGGAACACAATCGAATCAATAAAATTCCATTTGGAATTTTCTCCAGAGCGAAAGTATTAAGTAAGCTGAATATGAAGGTAAGCTTATATTTATATTAGGGGAAGGAATTGCTTTAACTGGTACTTCCAGTAATATTTGTGTTCTCTAATTGTGTGTGGAGCGAGTACTCAGTGATGAATCTAAACTGATAATAAGACATTTCCGAGCAATTTGTATCCGATAACAAATATCTTAGAACTGTGTGTACCCTTAGGAATTTGTCCTAAAAAAATAATCATGGTCCAGCTTAGTGGCCAATGTGCCTGTAATCCCAGTGCTTCAGAAGCCTAAAATGGGAGGATCCCTGGAGGCTAGGAGTTCAAGGCCAGCTTGGGCAATAGAGTGAGACTTTGTCTCGTAAAAACCTTTTAAAAATTTTAAAAATTAGCTGGCCTGTACTATGAGCTACGTGGAAGGTTGGGATAGGAGGACTGCTTGAGCCTTAAGTTCAAGGCTGCAGTGAGTTATGATGGCACCACTGTACTCCAGCCTGGGCAAGAGAGCAAGACTCTGTCCCCCATCCCCTCAAAAAAGGAAATATGAATGTCTGTGAAAGTATAGTTGTAGGGATATGTATTGCAAAACTGTATTTCCATAGGTACCAACTTATTAATAGAGGTTTAATTTTGTTAATTTATCTTTAGTGGAATAGTGTAGTCATTAAAAATGATATTTCAGTCTAAAAGAATACTACATACTAATTGAAATAGTCTCATTTCATCAAGTAGAAGAAAGTTAATGCATGTAAAAAAACCTCTTCCTGCCTAGAGTTTTCGAAAGCTGTTTTTAATATGCTTAATTACATATTAAATATCTTTATAAATATAGCTGTTTTTTTACCAAAATGTTTATCTTTAGAGATCAGAATTATTTATGGGTGATCTTTAGTTTCCTTTTGCTTATCTGTATAGTCTACAGTGATTGAGTTTCACATTTGTAATGAAGTTTATTGCAAAAGGAGAAAACACTTGGAAAATTACCAAGTTCAGTGATTTAATTTGTACTTTAGACCCAATGAAGATAACTGAATTGGCCACTTAGCTAATAGTATTCTTCTGTCATGATGAACCATTTGAACATAGTTATGGTTCTTTAAACTGTAATCTTAAATGTATAATTTTTAAATTCCATCCCCACTTGTTCATAAATATGGTATGTATCTTTTATGATGATTCTTTGGAAGTATATAATAAGTAAACTAATGGAAATTCAAGGTACTCTTAGAGTTTTAATAACTGTAAAATTTGTTAATCACTCTGGTTATGAGATTTAACAGTGGAAATGGTGTTGATTCTGAACATTTATTTTGTAGTAATAGGCTTAAAACACAGTGGTTCAGGTGTTCATTAGTTTATACATTTGCATATAAATAAGCTCTAGTAGTAAATTTTAAACAATGAAAATACTTTATAAATCATACTATAAGTATTAGTAGTTTAGGCATAGATAGGCAATAAGCTTACATAGCATAATAAATAGAAAACAAGTTTAAATATTACAATAAAAGAAAAAGTTGGTTTTCAAATAGATGTTTGCTACTTGGGATTTCTTTTATGGGTCATTTTGTGTGAAATGAGATGAGTAATCCATGTGCAATGCAGCCAATTTTAAAGATACAGATGAACATAAAGGATATAAAATATTGCCACTGAGAGGTAGCATCACTGTTAACATACTGGCATATATTGTTGGTATTTAGCTGGATAGGGTATTGATTATCCTCTCCCACTACCCCTAACACGTAACAGTGTGGTAAGAGTCATTATTGATGAAAGTGTACTTTGTAAGTGAATAAGTGGAAGCTGGAAAGATAGTAATTGACATACTTTTTTTTCAGTGAATAGCCATGTCTAGTTTTTAAACCAAATTAAGTTCATATTTACTGTTTTTATCATCTGTTTTAGTGATGAAAACATTTTGCCATTTTTTGTTACAGATTTTTAAAGTGAAGTGGTAAATGCCTGTTTAGTGTTTTTATGATTTAATTTGTTGTATTTTTAAGACTATTTTTTCCTCTCCTACTTTACTGTTCAGCACCTCAAGAATTCCTGAGCTCATCCTGGTTTCCTTAAGGGCTGTGATTAGATATTTTCTTCTGTTATTTTCATATCTTTTTTTTTTGTTTTGTCTTTTGTTATTTGCTCAGGATAGCATTGGCTATTCTGGATCTTTTGTGGTTTGTATAAACCTTACATATTTTTTTCTCTATTTCTGTGAAAAATGTTATTGGTATGTTTGTAGGACTTGAGCATTTAATTTTTATTCAGTGATTTCTGCATATTATTGTGAAATGGTAAAAACATCATATTTATCATAGGGTCTTTGAAATCTCCAGTGTTTCACTGTCTGGTGTATTTTGCTATTTCCATTACAAACAAATCATGTAAGGGATCTTTTTAAGATGTTGTTTAATTAAGAATTCTCTTTCCAAAATGTCAGGTGTATATGTGGAACTTTGTTTTTGTGGTTCTACCTTGGATGCTTTTTTTGTCGTTGGCAGGACAATCAGTTAACATCACTTCCCTTGGATTTTGGAACTTGGACCAGTATGGTAGAATTGAATTTAGCCACTAATCAGCTCACAAAGATCCCAGAAGATGTGTCTGGTCTCGTTTCTCTTGAGGTTAGTATAAATGAGCAATTAGAGTACCTCAGAACCTTCCATACTTATCTCACTTAAAAATTTCAAATTGAAATATACAATTTGTATTTGGGCTAAGAGCATAATTAGAAATGTTAGAACTCACTTAAACATACAACCATAATAGGATAATGAAATGTTTACTTAAGTAGTCCAGATTCAGTGCTTCTCAATTACTCTTGCCAACTAAAAGTTGGTATGTCTGAGTACCATAAAGCATTAATATCTCTAAAAGAAAAGTTCTATAAAAGCATCTTTAGAACAATTTTCTTTTTCTTCATTCTGTTTAAAAGCTACACCATTGTCTGCCAAACTCTTGATTCCTCAGACTGGCATTCAGAATACTTTATCATACTTTTTCATGATAAAGTATGCTATTTTGTTTGCTAGTTAAGTTGAATCATCTTCGTTGTAAATCTGGTATGCATAGCTCTAGCCTTCTTAGTCCTATTGTTTTCTGTATCTAGAATTCCCTCTTACATCCCTTTATTTTCTTCTTTTGGTATGTTTTTCTGCAATTAAAGATCCATCTTACTTTCACCTCTTCAGTTAAGGATGATCTCTCATGCTTCTAAGTTCATAGAGTTTTCTTCTCTTGGTGAAAACACCAATAGTAAATATATTGTTTTAAAAAATTTTCTTCATATCCATGTATTTTAAAGATCTAATTTTTAAAATTAATAAGGTGAAATAGTATGGTTTAATGGCTAAAAGCATGGGCTTTGAAGTCAAACAAAGCTGAGTGTAATTATCTCTGTATATTTATGTACTTAACTTGCCCAAGCTTCAGTTTCCTAGGCTGTGAAATGGGGATAATAGTAATATTTACCTTGTAGAGTTGTAATTAGGATTAAATGCAATAATGCACATAATGCGTTTAGTGCAGTGTCTTACAAATAGTAAAATCAAGTGGTGACTGCTATTATTATTTTATTAGTCTTATATATATTTACTTTATTATGGCTGGTATAACATTAGGGAAAACAAATGGACATTAAAAGTTACTGGGAACCTTACGTATGTGTTTTACCTATTGCTCTTTCTCGTAACCCAGTATTGTCTCCCTGCTTTTCTGCTAGTTAGTAACTTTATTGGAACAAAGGTTATCTTCCTCTGCCTTTATTCCCCCCTTCAGTATCTTCCAGTATGCCTTTCAATGTCATAAGGCCACCACAGATAATAAATATAGTGGATTGATATAGCAAGTTTAGAAGTTATGGTTCCTTAAGTAATGGTTTGTAATAGTTTCCTATTAGATAAACATTTTAACTATTCAGTAGTTTTTTTGAAATTTAGTTAAAATTTAATTGCTTCTTCTGTTTTCATTAGTTTTGATATAATCAAATAAAGCTTTCTAATAACTATAGTGATTTTTTTTAGAAAAGTAGGTTAAATATTTTATATGTTATATAATTAAACGTTATCTTTAATATTCATTCTTTGGAAAATTAGCATTGCTTAATAAATTTTAGGCCACACAATGACAGTATAAAATTTCATTTCATGATTTGTCAAACATTATCAATAATTTCTCATTAGGTTCTTATCTTATCAAACAATCTTCTAAAGAAGCTTCCCCATGGTCTTGGAAACCTTAGGAAGTTAAGAGAGTTGGATCTAGAAGAGAACAAATTGGAATCCTTGCCAAATGAGATTGCATATCTTAAGGATTTACAGGTAATCATCCTGGTGGTTTTGTAGATATAATTAAAGTTTTTGGAATCCATTCCAAATTGCACATTTTTCTTAAGATTTTGATGTAATTCTTGGATCAGATAGACTTTGCTATTCTAGTATTAGGGCTGAGTTTTATGTTCATATAATCTGACTTTGTGTTCCTAACAAATGATATTTTGTGAAAGAAAAATCTGTAACTTAAGTGACTCTTATTCTGTCCAATCTAGTTTCCCTGTGAATTTATTTTATTGCTTAGATGTATTATTTTAAGTTTACATCAATTGTAGGAAAGAAATTTGTAACTGTCTTTTATTTTGTTAATCTTTCAGAAATTAGTCTTGACAAACAACCAGTTGACCACTCTTCCCAGAGGCATTGGTCATCTTACCAATCTCACACATCTGGGCCTTGGAGAGAACCTGCTTACTCACCTTCCTGAAGAAATTGGTATGAACCCTATGAATGCTTGACTCTGTACTAATAATTTGCTCTTGTGCATTGAAGCTGTATTTCAGATAAATATGTCAAATGCCTTATTTTTTTTAAACTGAGGTTATGTCAGGCTTAAGATTTTTTTTTTAAATAGAGCACCAGTGGTTGATTTGTTGATTGGTTTTGGTTAACTTTCCTAATGGCTGTTAGGATTGGTTTTAGGATTAATACTGTATTTGAGAATGTTTTGGAATACTTATATTTCCAGTAGGTTTTATATGAAACCTCAATTTAGAAGTCATTTTATATTTCTTCTGAATTTAAAAATTACACAGGCTTGAATTAAATTAGTAATGTTTTATGCGAAAAGAACATTTCTTTATGATATTTTAGAATTAATATTTAGTATTAACATATGGGAAAACTTAACATTTTCTAAGTGTTTTCATTTCCATTATTTTATATTATTTTATGTTATATACATAACCGCCTGGAATTTTAGACAGTGCAAGTTGTGATCTTGCTTTATAAAGAGAATTACTTGATTGAGGTCACGTAGTAATTAAATGTTCGCTTTTAAGTTAGTAATGCTGTGCATTATGTTCTCCCATCTGTAGTGCACTGTCCTGTAGGAACTATAGGTTGGTGGTTAAGAATGGTTTTGGAGATAATTGACAATGCAAAATCTAGCTCTGTTGCTTACTGGCTTTGTGACTTTAGACACAGTATGTAAACTTCCTAAGCCTCAAGTTTCTTGCCTGTAAAATAAGGATGATAATAGTAATTTCTCATAGGGTTGTTCCAAAGCTTAAATAATATCTTACATGTAAACAAATTGATTGCATACTAGCTATTATTTCTGTTAGTTTTCTAATAAATTCCACTGTCAAATATTCTGAATTTTAAAATTTAAAAATTGGAAACACATCAGGCAAATTTATACCTCTATTTCTGGTATATTTACTCACCTGACCTCATTAAATTGTTTGAGACATTTTACTAGAGAATACAGATATCCTAAGACAATCTAAGAAAAAATTTTTAAAGGACTATTTAAATTGATTTTTGGCTTACTGCCATATATGTGATAACTCTTAGTGAAAGGTTTATATTAAGTAACAAAAATTTTGTATTTAAGAAATTTATTTAAGAAAATGTCACATTATCTATAACAGAAAAGTGGTTATAGACATTGTCTATATAATAAGCTCACCTTTGGAATTTTAAAATACATATAAATAAATGTCAGAAATATGTCAAAGAAAATCTCTTTGCATTTTTGAAAAGCTCTCCAAAGAAAAACATACGCATTTTTAAAAAGCTCTCCAAGCTTGAAGACCTACCATAAAGGAAGAGGTTCTAATTTAGTTTGTGTGGAGTGTGTCATCAGGAGTTTTAAAAGTCTCCCCAATTGATTTGAATATGCACAAAGTTTGAGATCCATGGTTGTAGAAATTTAAAACCAAGAAAGGAGAATAAGAGGAAGTGTATGTTCAGTATATTTAATGACCAGAATAGTATCATGCCCAGTTGAACTTTTAAAACAGCAACTAATTTTTTAAAAAAATAATTGATTTGGCAGACTTGGTGGCTCACGCCTGTAATCCCAGCACTTGGGAGGCCAAGGCAGGTAGATCACAAGGTGAGGATTTCAAGACCAGCCTGGCCAAGATGGTGAAACCCTGTCTCTACTAAAAATGCAAAAAATTAGCTGGGCATGGTGGCAGACGCCTGTAATCCCAGCTACTCAGGAGGCTGAGGCAGAGAATTGCCTGAACCCAGGAGGTGGAGGTTGCAGTGAGCTGAAATCGCACCACTGTACTCCAACCTGGGTGACAGAGCGAGACTCCATTTCATAAAAAAAAACAAAACAGTGATAGTAATTGGATTTTTTCTTTAAACAGGTACACTGGAGAACCTGGAAGAACTGTATTTGAATGACAACCCCAATCTGCATAGCCTTCCCTTTGAGCTGGCACTCTGCAGCAAGCTTTCAATCATGAGTATTGAGAACTGTCCACTCAGTCACCTTCCACCTCAGATTGTTGCTGGGGGGCCTTCTTTCATCATTCAGTTCCTAAAGATGCAGGGTCCGTATCGTGCCATGGTTTGATACAAATCTGCTGATCCCACACACTGTTCAAAAATAGACTGCCATTAATGTTTCTTATCTATATCTGTATCTATTTATGTAGATATTGATATATGGCAGATTTATAAAGATTGCATTATGTGTTTCTGCTAATAGAGGAATCATAGCCATTTAGAATTTTTTTTAAATTCTGTACAAAAGGCTTATATAAGTTTTCTTTGCTGAATTTGATGGATGTTTTTCTGTTGTATAATCTGATATGCCAGTTTGCTTAAAACATTTGCCAACAGATTATGAAGTTATTAAATTTAAGGGACAGAGGTAGTATAGTTAGATATACTTTCTGTTAGGAAAAATAATGGGCAAATAATTTTGTTGCAACTTTTCATATACTCCCCTTACCAATTGTTGTATCTTTTTAGTATTGTAGTCCCTGAAGGTAGAATTTTTCTTTAACTTATTTTGAGATTTGAGATTTAAATTTTATGTATTGTTTACAGTCAGAGTAAATCACTGGATTTTTTTGTTTGTTTTGATTTGCTCTGTTTTATTCAGTCAAATCTAGAGTTTGTATCCTCTGCTAAAGAATTTGCATCAGCTGGTTTAAATAGTGAAAGGTATTTGTTAAAAAAAAAAAAAGCTGGCAAAGTGAAAAGACATGGTCAGAAATCTAGAATTTCTTTAATTGTGCTTCTCTTATGAGTTGTGAAGCAAAAGACCTGAAGTGAGTCTTTGGGTAGGGGAAGGGTATTGAGACCTTTTCTAGTATGAATATTTTTTAAGTTTGGGGGAAGAGAAACTTGTAGTGAAAGGAGTTTTTTTCATTCCTGAAAGTTGCAGATCCACAAAAACTAACTGGTTAATTTGGCAAATAAATAAATTACATATAAACACACACAATCTATATATGTATATACAATGCTATATAGATATGTATTTATTATATCATAAACTACAGTAGGTAACTTTAAGGATTTCTTCCTATCCTTGTACAATGACATGAATGTCTTTGAAAACTGCAATATATGTATGTTTCAAGGTTATTTAACAGTGTACTATGGTTTTATATCTTGACTTGCCTTGTACATCTTTCAATTCTGGAATATCTGTGTCTAAGCACAATATCTTCACACTGTGCTGTATTGCTGCTGAACTAAATGCACTTTTCCCCACATGTGGGACACTGGCTTCAAACAATTCGGTTCGGTATCATTACTTTTAATCTCATCTTTCCTTTCTTGGTAGTTGTTCATACAGTTATGGAAAAGAGGCACATTGCATAGAAGCCATTGGGGAGTTCAGTGGAAGTTCTGTAAGATGTGCATGTACTATTTGATATATTTTCTTTTGCTTCACTGCTTTTAGTAGTTAGCAGTATTGTTGGTCTAAGTCAGTTTGATTATTGAGGAGACTCAGAGCGACTGTGTTCTAGATGTCCTTAAAAACTCTTCCCATATAATTAATAGCTATTTTGTATAATTACATATTGCTGCTTGTTTTTTTTTTCCCCATTTAGTTGGGTGTTGTGTTTTACACAAAACTATTTTTGAATTAAGGCTATGATACTAAGAAATTTGGACTGTTGTTCTGCTTTTCCTGGCACTCAAAATCATGATTAGATTTGAGGTCAAACCTATGTTGGTAATTGGAGGTTTTATAAGGATCAGTTGAGAAATGGAAGGCAGGTGAAGATATAAAACCCTAGAATGCTTAAATGTGCTGTAAAACTATTGTAGATGTCACTGGATTTTACCAAGTAATATCCTTTCTTCTTTTTTTTTCCGTCTACTGTGGCTTTTCAGTTAAAATTTTGTTTATAAAAGGAATTTCTTTATTACAGCTCTACCTAGAGCCTGTGTGTATGTGTGGTTTTTTAAATCCGGTATCTAGTTTTGTTTATATATTAAGATGATGGAACTTGAACTTTAAAGATAGTAACTAAATGTCTTTTTTTTGAAAAAAAAAAAAAAAAAAAATGGTTATTGTTTCTTAAAATGAAAATAGATACAATTTTTAAAGCATTTTGGTTCCCCTACTTTTATTTATGTTAATCTGTAACAGAAATGTAAAACGATCACAGTCTTACATGTGGAAGTGATGCTACATGTAAACAGTATAATCACAAGTTATAAAAAAGTTTAAAGAAAGTATAAAACATATGTCCTCTATAGGTTGTCACCTTGTAAGAGCCCACACATTTCATTACTTCTACCAAGAAACTAACATGGACTCTGATTAGGATATCCCTGTGAAATCAAGATATTTAATCTTTAAATAGTTTGAATATAATAAGACTACATAAGAGCTAATACTTTTTCCTGAAACTGCAATGGGACTAATTGGCATATCGAAAAATTTTCCTTTCTTTTAAAGAAATTATATTTAGTCTCTCCATGAGACACAGCAAATAAAATAAAAATGTCAGAGGATGTTACCTTATAAAAACATTGCTCTAAACTTTGTTTTGGTTAATATGTAGCAGAAAAATGGCAATGGTAATGTCAAGCTGTCCTTTTGTGAGAGTTTCATACTTTCTAAATCCCACATGATTATTGCATACAGAAAGGAAGAAGTGCTAAATAATTTAAAAACCTTATGGATACAAATGAAAATAATAGATGATATAGGAAGGGAGAAAATACACATAAAATGTTTATATGTACTTATATTAAAATGTAGGTATTGCAATGGGAATGATCTTTAAAAAAATGTAATTGCAAATTCTAATTTATCTAATTGTACAGCCTGAATCATTTAAAATAGGTAAGTTGTTACACATTACAGTTCATCTAATTTTTCTGTAAACTTCTGTTACAACCTTTTGCTTTTTATCTGTTATTTCTAAGCCATGTGTATTGGATCCAAATTTCAGTTTGGAGAATTTATAATTGTTTCTCACTAAGAATGTATAGTAACTAAGTATATAAAAGGAGACACTTCTGAAATGAAAAGGGGGCAATACCAATAGTTATATGGGAACAACAGTCTCAGGAAATCGGGATATATGATCACTCTTGCATGATTAAAATTAGATGAAAGCAAATAACATAATTCAAAATAAACTGGAAAAGTATACATTCCTGAAGTCTATGAACTTTAAAATGAATTATTGTAAGAAAAGGTCTCCTTCTGCCTCATCAGAGGATAAAATAGCATTCCAAATGTCTTATCTGAAACTTTTCTCTTGCTTTATTCTTTTGAGTAGTTTAGTCTTTAGGATTCATTGGGAAACACATGACAATCTGTGGTTGATTATGTAATTTTGGAGAATTTTAATATGCAAGAGTTGTGACATTGATTTGGCATCTAAGGGAGTATCTTGAACATTGTTATATTAGGAAAACATGAGAATGTTTTATTAAATAGTTATCAGTACTTTGTTATTGAATAGAATGCTACTCTGAGAAAACATTACTGGGTTTATTTTTTTACTTTGAAAAATAACTTTAAAAATAAGGGATTTTTAAAAAACTGGAATTGGTTCTCATTACCCTTAAAAAATACCTTCTTTTGTATACACTTGTTCATTATCCCACTGACATTGTAAGTTCTGAATATAAACTGTTTGAATTTAATCACCTGTTTGTGATCGAGACTTCATCTGGATAGTAGTTTATAATATTTCAGACTGGAAAGAGTTCCAAGTTTGGTAGGAGGCATAGCCTCTGCTGTTCAGAGTAGTTGGGGCAGGGCATGCCATATACAGCTTTTGCAGTCTGTGCAGAGTACAGCGGCATAACATGTTGGGGGTGCTGTTCATTCACATCATAGATTTGTATCTTTATTATCACAGTTTTTTTAGCAGGCTTCGGTAAAGTTTCCTATCCTAACAAAACCAGTATATTATGTCAAGTTTCTGACAATTAAAAACCTTAAGGAAGAAGCTTTCATTTTGTTTGTTGCAAAATGGCTCCAGTTTGGCTAGAGAGGAGATTCTGTCTTTATGCAAATTATTAGAGTTTCATCGTAAGAATCATAATAATGGAATAATATTTAAATAGTGTTAGAAGCATTTTATATATTATAGGTACTCCAAAACATCTTTCTTGGACAATCTAATTAGAGTTTTTGGGTGCTTTATCAGTTACCATCGTCATTTAGATTTCCTGTGTTACTTAATTTGCTTTTATAATTACTGATGTTTCTTAAAATGAAAATAGATACAGTTTTTAAAGCATTATGGAGAATTTAACCTTCTGTTCTGATCAAACAGTATATAAGTAGCATCTGCATCACCCATCTATACCATTCTCTTTTTATGATTTTGAAGACATAATTGTTCAGTAAATCTGTCCATTTAGCTAGTACGTAAAACCTCATGTCCACTACTAAAAATGTTTTATGTGTGGATCAGATAATTTATTTTAATATCAGTCTTGAATAGAAAATTATACTAATACACAGTTTTCACATTTGCTGTTGGTCTCTTCTTTCACCTCAAAGCTCATTTTTAACTTAGTTCAGAAAGTTATAATTGCTAAATAAGAACATGATGATGTATTTAACAGTTTGAATTTTTCTCCAGGTAAAGATCAGGTTTCCACTGATGTTTAACAGGGCATGTACTGTGTTAAATACTTAGCTATTCTGAATTATGATTCAAAGCTACAAGGTAAACAGCCTTCAAATAATGTACTTTGAACCTGAATTATATTGTTGATTATTTTGACTTTATAAAAATTGGCATTTTAGCAAGTCATTTTGTGTTATTATTCAGTGGAAATAATGTATTTGTAAATGTTCTGCCATAGAGTCTTTTAAAAAGATTTCCAATGCTATGTGTAACTGAAACTGGACCTGAAATCAGTCTTCACAGTGTCATGAAGCCATAAAAATGTGGAATTGAAAGAGATGACTTTTCACAGCTATGAAATCTTCTGGAAAACTTTGAAGCAGCAAATGGCATGGAGAAAGGTATACAGAACTAAGTGCATAGAAACAATGCAACATAGTATTTTATATGGGCAGTGGTGTCCTTCAATATAGTAGTTTATGTTGTTTATATTTACTATTTTTAAAACCCTAGATTTCAGGGTTTTGTTGTTGTTATATCTTGTAATGAAGACTGCTCTATAATGGAGACATGAATTCTTAGAAGTGATTTTCCCGTTCTCTGAGCCTTCTAGTCCTAATAGTATTTTTATCATGATCTCCCATGTTCTGTGAAGAGATTGTTTTTTGTTTTGTAAACTTTCATAAGAAAGTTTGCTCTGACTCAGCTGTTTAAGATGTCAGGGTAACTGAAGGTGGGAATTGAGTGCAGGTTTCCTAGAAAAATAATTTGCAATATTGGCTAATGAAGAAAATTATGTAAGTTTGTGTTTTAAAATGTTTTACAAGAACACAAGCTGTGAGGATAAAAGATAATACCCAATGATAACTATTTAATTGGCTGAAGAAAACTTAAGGAAAGCGACAAATTTTAATCCTTTGCACAGAAAGATGATAAAATGTCATCTTTCCTGGTATCATTCTTTAATATGAATTTTTAAAAACCACTGTGTGTGGCTACCTTGAGAAGAATAGATTGAAGGATATCACAACTAGAGACCAAGGGACCAGATGGGAAACTCTTGGAGTAATCCAGATGATGGATGACAGTAGCTTTGATTGGAATTATAGCAATAGGGGTGGAAAGAATGACCCTTAAGGGAGCCTTAGTAAGACATATTAGTAAGAATTAATGATTGACTGGATAAAGTGAGTAAGAATACTCCCAGGTTAGTGGCTTAAGCATTTGGGCATATTTACTAAACTAAGGAACTTTGGCAGAGGACCAGATTCTTTTGGTTTGTTTAGAGGTAGGGAGAGAATGTGTTTTAGAACTTGTAGAACATCAAGTGGCGATACCAGGTAAGCAATTGGATACTGAAATCTTGTTAGAAAATTAGACCTGGAAACAGATGATCCAACATATGGGTGGTAATTGAAGCAAGGATTCCCTAGGGAGATCCTAGGGATTGGAAAAAGATGGAATCCCTGATGAACTCCAGAAATCAAGAAGTAGCTGTAGTGGAGGTGACAATTAAAAGAATTGGGGTGGAGGATGCCAGATGGAGAATGTTAAGGGCAGTATAGGACTGCTCATACTCTGTATTTAAATTTAATTCCTTTAAATCTTTTCTTTAGAAGTAACATGTAAAGATTGAGCTTATTTTTCTGCATTTAAAATTTTTTTACTGCTCTTTTCCATACTTTTAATTATTTAATTAACCAGTTTGTACTGGTCTTTCCCTCTTCATTTTGCTCTTTAACTCTTCCTTTACTTTGTGGTTAACCTTGTGGAATATATAACTACTAGGTCTAGTTTCTAACTCATCTGTGATCCAGACTGGCTTACCTCATCCAGTTAAAGAATTAGATTTTTTTTTTTCATAGTCTTAGCTTTGTAAGCAAAATTTAGGCCTAGGAAGAGAATGCCTTTGGTAGAGGCCCATTTCTAAAATAGACACACAAAATATTCTGACTTGAAAAGAATACTGTTATAAAATATGAAAATAGATTACATTTAGGTGATTAGATTATTGGTTCTGTAATGCTTTAGTAGACTGAAGTGATTAGATTGTCAGACTTTTTTATGGGAATTTTTTTTAAAGACTAGGTAATCATTTCTTCAAATTACAAGTGTATATATCTGAGAATTTGTGTGCAGTCAAATGCTGTATCCCTGAGTTATACCCTCTAAGAACATATACATGTTACCTTCCAAAGCAGACATTATAAATGTCCAAACTTTTTTTACAAAAGTATTTTACTTGATTGAATAATTTCCCTGTTGAGATTAGAGATAAAAATCTAAATGTTTGTATTTTTTTTACTCTAGATTTTATCACTAACTTTGAAAATTAGTT